CGGCGATTAAAGTTTCGATTTTGCGGGTGGATCGGTTCGCTGCTGACGAAGCTCGTGGCGGCGCTTCGTGGCTTTCAAAAATGGCCGACGCTGACATTTTCTCGGACCGTTTATCGCGATAATACGGCTTTAGGTCAGAGGGTGTGGCCTCGGCCAGATTGATTCGGCGAGGCTCGCTTCTGCGCGCTACGCTTCGTTACCGCGAACAGTATGGCTGCTTTCCTCTCCTCGTCACGGCTTTTCATCCATCTTCCGTTACGTCCCGTTTCGCCCGCGATCCGATAAATACAGACCGAACGATAAAGCTGTCGGCTATATCGTCGGTTCTGTATTCCGTCCGATGATTCGCTTTCGATAATTACGATATATGAGACGCGTGTTTGCAGAGATGACGATTTCTCGTTACCCCTGGTGGAAACTGTCGAAAAATGGGCAAAATTCTAATTTTATCTACAATTTTCGAATCCATCGTCCTATACACGTGTGCATTCGAAGACGTTAGAATAGAAATTTTACTTGAACGCCTAGCCATATGTAACAGCTCGCAGCAGCGATCGATAAGCGAATTCTGGAATATATTAATCTCCCACGCAATCGCTGATACGTCAGCGTAATTTGTATATTTTTTTTTGCACGCCTCGTTGATAATCCTGTTGATTCGCGAGTGGTACCTCTCCGCCCCCCGCAACCTACTATACGTCCGTGTTTCAAGTTCAGTACTTTTCCAGACGATTCGACGAAGGAGTATGTAGCGCGCGTCTGGCTAGGATCTTGTATTCCTCGTAGTACAGCTCATACATACACCTGATCGAGTAAAAAAATTTCCGATAGGCTTGCGTTCGTTACCTCAAATGTCTGAATTTGTTTTTTTTTTTTGTTACTTTTGAAATACACAGGATGTCCTGTCACTGGTGGTAAGACAAAGTAGTCGAAATGTAAGTCGAAAATGTAGAATATAATTTTTTCGTTTCAGACTTCATTCAAACAAGTGCTCATTATGATCACGGCCAAATTCATATCTAATCATTTTCAATTTTCTCGTAAACGAAGTCTCGAATGAAACAATTTTATTAATCATTTTATAAATCATCCCTTATCCGATTGTACCATCGGTTACATGACACCCTGTATAATCTACGAAGGAAAGCGGATTTATTCGCGATCTCCGTATAAATGAGAGCAGAACGTGTTCCTTTACAGAGTCGCGCGCGGAGGCCGTGCGCGATTGGTCGGAATAAAAAGTGCTAGGCGGGTACGAACGCGCGAGGGAACGCTCGGCGGACAGGTACGCGGGGGGAGTTTTTTTTCTGGTTGCAACGGCAGTTACGATGACGACGCGCTATCTATCGACGGCGTGGGTGTTCGTTCTCGCCGGCCGCCGGACAGATTCGAAAACGCATTATTAACACCGACGACCCTCGGTCTATGATTACGCGCATTAATAGCCGGATGGACGAACTTTGCTCACGCTCCCCCACTATTATTATCGCAATGCGAATCACACGAGAGAAGAGACGAAAGAGATAGAGACACTCTGGAATAAAAATATAGCAACAAGAAAAAGAGGCGGATGGAAAGGAGAATTGTGGACGAAAGAGCACCGTGATAGATATCGTCGCTCGAGTTCTTAACTGTTCTAACTCCATTTCTTAAAAACATTTTGTTCATCAATCTACGTGTGTCTCATTGGTCCACAGAATACAAATTCACCATAATATACAGAAATATTTTGTTTATCGAAGAGTTCTTCCCGTCAAATAATTAATTATTGTAGTATTATTATCACCATAAAAGTGCAAAGAAAAATTCGCACGCTGATTATGATCAAGCGCGCAAATATCGCTGCTCCTGCGAATATTTCGCGTTGATTTTGAGGGTTGTTCGTTTTTTGCTCGTCTGAAATCTGGGAGGAAATTTCACCTCGATTATTGGGGATCGCTCATCGGTTTCTCTCTCGATTTTATCTTCGAGACGTTCGCCATGCATCGGTTCGGCGATCCTCGTTGGGTTATTTTATCGATGAACGCGTACTCGCGCAACCATCTTGGTCAGACGATATGCCATTTAAATATAATGTTTCGCGCGCGCGCAAGCACGCATGTATCGTGGCCCGTTGCAAACTCCTTTTCAAATTGCATATCGGGTACGATCGAGTGTTGCGAGTACACCAATCTTCCGTCGATGAATAATTCATTGTGTACATAATTCATAAATCACGCTCCGTAAGCTCGATGGACGGGGATCATTCGAAAATATCTGACGAGAGATATCTCTTTTCCATCCACCTGGCCGGTTTTCTTCGCCCTGACATAATCGACAAACCGTTCCACGCTTTTCCCTTGTGAAAACTGTCCTATCCAGTCGACATATTCTACTGATCACGCCAAGTTTCGTTATACAGAGTGTTGTTAAACAATGTGGAAAACTGTCACACACGGTGGATTCTAAATGTGAAACTGAAACAAAAATCAAGAATGACGAAATTGCATTCGAGGCTTCGTTTTCGAGTTATTAATTGTTGAAAATGTAGGGCGAAATACGTCTGACACGATGGATTATTCTACTTGTGAGGCGCGCCCTTCAACTGTTTCACGAGTTTGTTTCATTTATTTCATTTTATTTTATTCATTAAAAACGAAATCATCGGTCGAACCCATGTGTATCAGCTGAGAATCGGTTGTTTAAGTAGAATAATCCATTCGCGTCAGACGTATTCCACTTCAAGAGCGCGACTCTCCAGTAGAATAACCCATCGCGTCAGACGTATTTCAGTTCAGGAGCGCGACTCTCAAGTAGAATAATCCATCGCGCCAGACATATTTCCCGTATCTTTAAAAATTAATAACTCGAAAAGGAAGCCTCAAACGCAATTTCGACATTCTTGATTTTCATCTTATTTTGGGGGGAAATCCACTTTGCGTGAAAGTATCCCACATTTTTACCAATACCCTGTCAGAATCGAATAAAATTTGCTTAATTGGTCGAGCTCACGCGCGCGTCGCGATAACGATTCAACGGTACTCTGTCACTCTAAACGAATCTGTCGCGATAAAAATCGAACCTTTCGTTCGATGTCGGTGTTCCACGATTTATTGGTGGTCTCTTTTACGATACTACCGTGAACGCGTCGGCTCTCTGCAATGCGACGAGAACTTCTTTGCGGCCCGATAACTAACATCGATCCGCGCGTCGAACGCGCTTAAACATTCACAGTACGTATTCCGTATCGTAGCAGTCGATCCACGGAATAACGGACACATCGAGGTTAGGTAAACGAACAATTTTCATATGGAATATAGGGTGATACCAAAAAAAAAAGGGTCTAAAATTTTGGGGGCATATAGCACTCGTCGAGAGGAATAAAAAAATATTCACCTTACTTACAGACTATTTAACGCTTAAACCATTTATTGAAGGGCAGTGGATTTCGCTTATTTGCGCCACTATTTGTGATAAAGCTTAAAAAACAATATCTAATCAAACATACTGAATTTTCCTATGTGATACTTTGCATCATTGGGACAGCTTAATCGAGCCAAAAGGACCCTAGTCCCGATGTGTCGCAAATAATCCACTGTATAAAGTAATAAGTTCGTAGCTCAAAAGCACCTTCTCTTCGATCCACATATCGACCTCGCACTGAACGTGATAGAAAGCCGGGAAAGACCGGTAAAAACAACGTCGTCGTCGTCGACGATCGTGCGTGTGTCTCTGGCCGAGAAGGAGCGTGAAAGGAGGCGTTGCGCGGGGCTATGTCCCCTCCCCTCTGGGCGCATTAAAATATGTACGAATAGTTATGCGTTCTATGGACGGAGGAGCCGTGTGTGGCATTCGTTGGTGCGAGGCGCGCGCGCGCGCGCGCGCACGAGGGCGGCGTTGCGCGTGTACAAATCATGCGAAGAATGACGCGGCGGCATCGGCTCGCGCTCTTGCTCCCTCCCTTTCATCCTTCGGGGACGAAGCTCTTTGCTCGCCTTCCTTTTTCCTCCTCCCCTGGTCGTCCCTTCGGTTCTTTTATTTCGTCTCGTATGTATACAGGGTGTCCCACGCAACTGGGACAAGCCTCAGCTTTAAAACGGTAAAAGATATAAAAAAATTACATTTCTATGTACGTGTTTCTTCTTTGAAAGTGGCGTTTCAAAGATTTCAATGTCATCTGTATATTTTTTAACGGAACTATACAATTTTTCATCCACCGTTCGAGGCATATTTCTATTCTTTACAAAAAAGTATTAAGGTACTTGGGTCGAAAAACGATTAGTTTAAAAGATATTTTAACTTCAGTTTCTCAACATTGTGTAATATTTAGACTTAGGCTTGAATGTTTCTTCTCTATGCCCTTCCCTCGTGTGTACTAATTATATACTTTCAAACTAATCATTTCTTGAGCCAAATACCGTGATACGTAATTCCAGTTTTAAAAAAATAGAGGTGACCTTGTAATCCTTGAAATTCCTTCCATTTGAATGCTATGACTCGTCTCAGTTGTGTGGGACACCCTGTATGTGTAACCTTCTTATACGGCATCATCGTAGGATCGGTGCACACGAGGGCGTGGGGTGCTCGCAGGAGAGACCTCATGCTGCACAGCCCTCGAGAGATGCGTTCGTTGCATATTAACCGAGAACAACGCCGTATGCCCTTTCGTGAATCAGCATACCGGCGAGTCACTCGGCCCGTTTACTCGTCCGTCCGCTTGCTTAACCTACTCCCTGATAGATCCTCGTCTGGAGTTATCATCGAACGTTTCCGTTCGAGAACCCCAAACGGTCCCCTGCTTGGTTCGCCCGATCTTTCAGTTAATTCGTCGTTTCTTTCCGTCGGTTTACTTAACCTACTCCTAATAGATCGTCTTCACTTGATAATCGTCGAGCATTTCCAATCGGAAAAGCCCCAAACGTTCCTCTGCCCGGTTCTACCCAATCTTTCGGTTGCTTCTGTGCCCGGAGTTGAACTGAACGCACATTCCGATACAGCACCACCGTTTCTGTTTCCAGCAGACGTCGGACCTGGACACGTTGCTGTGCAGACAGGACCTGGACCGATTGCAGAAGCTCGACGACGATGATCCAGACAAGGACGCGAGGGAATCCTCGATGCAGATGGAGGACTTCTTCGAAGTCGGGGGGCCGGTTTGTCGGCCCCAGGCCAGCTTCGTCTCGTCGAGGAGCCATCCAGCTGGGAACGACGACGACGTGTTCCTCAGGCCGCCGCTCTGGGAGGACATCACTTCGAGCATCCAGAAGCTCGATCCCGAGAACGCGGACATGCTTGGCTCGCAGTCGCACGTCAAAATGGAGACGGACGACGTGACGTCGCCGGTATTGTCGCCGGTCGAGATTAAAACCGAGCCGTTGCCGCCGCCCCCGACGTTGCATCTCCTCGAGGGACCCGCCCCGAATACGGTGCAACAGTTCGCGAACGGTCACGCGAATCCGTCGTCGAACGGTCCCCGTGTCGTTCATCACAGGACATCGACTCCTGCTTTCAAGACTTTTCCCTCGAACAACAATAACAATACCAGCAACAACAACAATAATAACAATAGTAATAACCAAAACAGCAGTAGCAACATCATCAATCCCACAAGTATCACCAATAACAACAACAACAGCAATACCGGTAGCAATAACAACAGCAACAGTAATACTGGAACGAACAACAGCAACGATTCGTCGTCGAATCACGTTGGTGTTGGGAATCAAGTCGGCGGTAACTCGTCGTCGCCGTTGTACGGCTCGATGACAAGGCTGATGTACATTTCACCGTTGACGCCGCCGATCTCCGATCCCGGCTCGCCGATCGGCGCTCCACCGAGGCGGACACCGCCCCCGCCCTATCCCCAACCGTCCATTATGAATCCCGCTCATAGGATTCAGCATCCAGGCATCACCACCAAATTCAACCGGCGGAACAATCCTGAGCTCGAGAAACGACGCGTCCACCACTGTGATTTCATAGGTAAGCATTAGGCCATAGCCAGCCGGAATCGACGTGGAGAGCGCCTTGTTCGCCGTGTGTAATTTATATACATACATACATCGAGCCGACGAAACGACCGTTCACAATTATATGCAGTGTTTCCGGGAATCGTCGTGGTCGATCGTTTGCGTCGAGGACATTTCGTCGTGTTCCGTGTGTATTGTGCAGAGCTGGAAAGAAGTACTATCGCATTTGGGACTCTAAAGTGTTCGCAGGCTCCTCGGCACTGAGTGTTCAGACAGCATCCCTACCACTAGGAGGATCCCCCGTAGAATCAGTCAAGCGTCCAGTGATGGGGATGACGTCTAAACACTCAATGCCGAGGAACATCTCCACGATTATGTCAAAGACGGTAAACCTATGGAAAATTACCCAATAGGACCTTCTGTTCACATTGCTTCCGCGGAACTTCTTTCCAGATCTGGAAGTGTGGATCTGTTTCTACTACGGTACTGTTCTCTTGCAACCGCCTTTTTTTCTGTTTCCTTTCTTCAGGTTGTACGAAGGTCTACACGAAGAGTTCCCATCTGAAGGCGCACCAACGGATACACACAGGTGAGTCTCGATTTCGTGCGGCGAATGTACCGAGATCGCCGGATAGAGCTAGGTCGAAACGGCCACGGGGCGGTGTGGTGTGTAGAAGGTAAACGCGGGAGGCAGGGAAGAAGGAATGGCCGAGGTAATTAGGTATGTAGCTCATCTACGAAGCGAGACGAAGCGCGTTCGAAAGCGCGAGGTCGAGCAGCAGCAGCTCGCGCTCGGCGTGGGCAGGGCGCGGTTCCCGCAGTCTCTATATTGCTCTCTTCTCTCTCTCTCTCTCTCTCTCTCTCTCACGCGCGCGCGCACACCGCGATGATGTCTCTCTTCGTTTCACCTTCATTTCCGTCTCTCTCAGTAGCCTCTCCGTGGTTTCGCCTCTCTATCTGTCTCTCTGTCTCTCCTTTTAGCTCTCCTTTTCTCCGCGGCGGCGTGTTTCCGTCCGTGCGCGCGCGGTGTCGCGCGAAGGAGCCTCTATCGGATAGAGTCTATTCGCTGGCGTATGTAAACGTATAAGGAACGCGGCGCGAAGCAATGGTATGCGACTCTCCGCTTCGTAGACTCGAGCTAGCGACCCACATCCCATTCGTATCCAAACACGCTGCTCGGCGGTAACACGCTCGTACCTACACTACACCTACGCGAGGATTTACGCGCGCACGTTCGTCCGCGAGGGCAATGGGATATAACCTCACTTTTGGTTCACGAGGGATACACAGTTATGTACGAGGGAAAAGGACTCGTGTCCACACAATTTATTAGAACAATGTGTCAGAAGAAACATTACTCGACAAACGACAGACGATGACTGCCATACGATCTCGACGACGGATCATCTCGACCCATTCTTCCCATCATTTCGTTAATATCGTTTACATTAGCCGATAGATCAGGAGAAATCGCGATAAAACCATCAACGTTCTCAACCACGCTGATACAAGTCCGTTCTTACCCAGAATCCCCAACAATAACAATGTTAATACATCTCTTGGCGTGTTCGCTATCTGTGAATGAGCACGCGCACCAGAGCGCAGTACACGCGTATACCGAGTACGGGGTGAAAAAGAACGACAAGCAGTATATATACGAGTACCTCGGGACACGACCAATTCTCGTCCATTCAGAACGCGTTCACGCGCCCTTCCATTGGCGTACACTGCTGACCTCCTTCGTTTTATTTTTAAGCCGCCGGTATTCAATGTCCTGAAGTAGCGGATCTACGAAGTGCCTTGGCGTACGCAGAGCGCGTCGCGTCGTTCGTGGTCGCAACGGATCGGCGAGAAGGTTCGCCGAGATTTGAACGGGCACGTTCACTCACGAACCAGGGGATTCCGCGAGAGCTAAGTTTCGCGCAGGAACGTCGCGTTCGCAACCGGGAAGAACGCGTGCTCGCTCGCTCGCTCGTCCGAACAGAGGCTCTCGTGGAATGCAAGCCGGAGGCTTCTTAAGCGTCACGTACCACTTTCGTGTCGATACCTAGAGGATTCGCGGTGACCTGCGCTCGCGCTCCCGTCACGTCAAACGGCATCGAATGAAATGGACGCGGCTAACCGCGTCGCTACGCGATGACAGGCCTATTGGAATTTACGTTCGTGTTCGAAGCTATGGGTTCTCCGATAGTTAACCGATTATGACAGTGATCTCGAAAATCATGTTGAATTGGATTGAAAATCGACTGTTTCAAATATTTCATGGGGAACGTTAAGAAACGCGTTCGAAATTGGGAAATTGGAATTTTCGGGACTCGATCATATTGGTACATTACATTTTTCGGTACTGCAAAAAAAGGGGGCGGAAATCATAGGCGGTAAATGACGGTAGCATCGTTGAATGTATGTATACTGGTGATGGCGATAAATTTGAATTGTATGGTGATTTTTGATGTTTGGTATCGGTACTTATTGATACCCAGAGTATCAATACACATGTACATCTGTAATAAAATATCGATATTATCGGTATCGATACTTGCAATTAAATTAGCCTAGAATCCAAAAATGAAAATAGAGGACGCGGATAACTTTTGAATCTGTGCATTGCACGGTACACTGAATGGAAATGAAAGGGGGAGGAGTGGCGTAGAGTTAGCCGCTAGGGTTGAGAGCCGTGTGTACGCGTGGCTCTTGTCTCTCGCGAACCAACTCGCCCAGCGATCCCCCCCCCACATCATACACATACATCTCCTTCGGTACTCTCGCGTTACACGCATCTTTTGGCGTGCGCAACGCACACGCGTTTCACGAGCCGAACCGACCCGCACGAGAAAAAGAGTGTATCGCGATCGATCGCTCGTAAATTATATACCGTTCAAGGTGATACGTCTATATTCGAGGATTGTTTCGAGGATCGTTTCGAGGATCGTTCGGCATGTCCGAGCGGACGTCGATCGATTCTTGATCGACGCGAAGGTATTACGGCTTGTCCGCGTTTAGTATTCCGCTACGTACATCGACGTACGCGTTATATACCCCGTGCAACGTGTATACACGTTGGCGCGCTTCTTAATAGGAAAATTTCGTACGCAGACAACCTTGAAGAGCGCCGTTTCGGAGTATGTAAACGGTTTTTACGGGGCACCTAACTCGAAAAAAAATGTGAAACGCATCGTGGATAGATCGTTCGAGAGGAGATGTATAGACTTAAAGAGAACTGCGCGCGCGCAGGAGAACAGTGTCGTTCCTCTACCCGCGCATTAGAGCCCCGAGGAACTTTGAAAATTGAAAAGGTTAACGAGTGTGTAACGTATATAGCGACCGGCCGCGAGATGTACTTACCTTCGACCGTGCACGCATACACGACGACGAGGGAAGCCAGCCGGGCGTATTAAATTCTCGGTTGTATCGCAACGCGCATGGTCGAAAGACACTCGAGGGGTCTGAGAAACCCTTGAAAGACGAGCCGTACGTGGGCCGAAACGCGCACGCGTGTACCATTCGATGAGACAATGCCCGCGCCGCGGCTCACAGGCGCCCATTCGACTTTCACACTTTTCATCGTCGATCGTAGACGACGATTCGTGTTACGCTCCCTTGCAATCCCTCGAGGCACGGTTATATGTATACACGGATCTGCGTTTTCGTTGTGTACGATCGCGGCTAATTCAACGACCGATGGCTGGATTCTTAAAAAGTCCCGTGCACGTCCTTCGTTAATAGTAATAGCAATGTGAAACATTTACAGCCAGTTCAGACGATCCTACGGTGTTTTAACCCCCCGTGGACGGTGCCGGAGTCAAGTAAGGATACACGTGAGAGTTGGACTTTCGGGGAAGAGATCTATTCGAATGAACGCTACTTTGTTATTGATTCGGCAAATACTGTATCGTCTGGTGTCTGGACTAACTGTTACAATCTGAAAAAGAGGCGACATAGTCTGGTGGCGAACAACAGCAGCGATACATGTGGGGACGGTCGAATGTATAGACGCGTGCCGAGGCGTGCATTCGCGGGAGGTCAGCATCTCTTTCGTATCATGGGAGGAAACACGCGACGCGAAGTACCGCGCGAACACACAACGATTTCGTTCGTATATACATATACATACATACCTCCACCTTGGGCATATTTCTAAGCGTATTCGCGTATATACCTCGTGGATACGTTACCCGCTTCAAAACACAGACGATCCGTCGTCTCATGGATATATGTATACTTCTTAACCACCGAAGGTCATCGATCGCTGCGAAAAAGAAAACACCCGGAGAACATCTCTTTGAAGCTCGACGAATCAGGACATACCGATTCGCAATTTCCTTGTTCGAATTATACGTACTGTTCGTTATGCTGTATTCCGGGTGATATCTTTATCTCGGGAATCTGTACGGCACGCGGCTACCGTTACTCGTGCCTCGACACGATCATTAAGTAATAAGTATACCTTCGAGTGTCCATTTGGCTTCGGAACGACCGACGACAAAAAACGTGAGAATCAATGGCGCCGGGGGGTAGACGCTAGTAGTAGACAGTACAATAACGATACTTTTCAATTTAAATATCGACATTTCGTATAGGAAAATTTAATTTGATTTATTTTAATTTTTAGATTTTATTACATCGAATTACTATATCGATATTTTATTCCCGATATAAATGTACTCCGATACTCTGGGTGTCGATACGTATCGATACAATTCAAATGTATCGCCATCACTGGTAGCCGCATGCACGCGCTGTTGTACTCTTCGAACAGAACCTATTCGCTTAAGCATTATGGAAGCAAGAAGAGACACACACACACACGGAATAAGCGTGTAATAATCGAGAACAAAGTAGGACTAGGGCAAGAACGCGTATGTATTTGGAAAGCGAGCCGTGGATTATTGGCGGTGCTCGGGAACGCGTTCAGGCACTCGCCTGCCTGCTGGCTGGCTGCTCGACGGCACAGCGGCGGCGTACATCGAGACGCCGGTGAAAGTGATCCGAAATTAACGGGGACGCTTTGCGGCTCTCGTAGGCGTCGGTGTCGATCCGAGGAGCGCAAACACACGGATTCAGCGATACGCCACCTGGAACGTTATCAACCTCGTAAAGACAAGTCTCTCCCCTCGGATCGGCGAGACACCACGGTCTCCAGGCCGATTCGGAAGATTCTTTGGAAGTATACATATAGTCGACACACACGGTTTTCCAAGAAGGTATACATTTCCGAATAAGGTAGTCAAAAGTTCCCTTAGATCGAAGTGGAATTGTGTTAGACCAGTCGATAGTTTCCCAAGAAAAAACTGTACGGCTGTACCTTTTTACGATATTTTTCGCGGTCAGTCGTGTCGGTTCGGATGGTGGGAACCGTTCGTCGGCTCGTGTTTTGCCGAGGTTACACAGGAAAAAGTGATCGCGGATTTGCTAAACTAGATAATGCAATACACGCACGCGGGTGTTGCATGGAAATTTACAAGATCGCCGTCTCGTTTTTTATCTTCTTCTCATTTGCATTTATTCGCGCAATAACGAGCACGGTGGCGGCGTAACGTTCGTCGCGTGCTCGATCGTAAAAAGATCGGAACGGTACGCCAGCGAATTCTCCGGTCGCGAGATCGAACGTGTTGTCTCGTACAGATCGTAATGAAAAACTCGGCCACGCGAGGAAAACCGTATATCGGCCGGTCTGGTTTCGCCGCCGTTGTCGTCCTATGGATGGCGCGAAGAAACTGGATTCCCGTACCAGCCACGATCCCAAGAATCTCCCGATCGAATGACTTAATACTACGCCAATTAGATGACGGCACGAGCCGAACACGACTTTGCCTTTTCTATTTTTAAACGGAGTTCGGTTTACGCAGACGCGCGGTCGTCGTGTCATCGTTTTTTCGTCCCTCGTCGTATTTCCGTGATGAGGGAAAGTTTCGATTTTCATGATACGAAGAAAGGGTTCGTAACTTCTAGGGTAGATAATACTCGCGAAACAATGGATTACCTTGTCGTTGTTTCTTTTTCTAATGTTTAAACAGTTAATAAGACCAAATACTTGTTCGTCAAGTGCCTACTCCATAGGTTCCTAAAGTGGGCGCTGAGGAAATCTGTTGGGGGCGTTCTAGTTATTTTATTGTGTTTATTTTCAATTTAACTTTTTACGATTCAAAGACCACAAGCATAACTACACTTGCAAATTTTAATAATAGATAAACGAATTAATAATAGATACCAACGAATTTGTACGATGTCTAGGCCGAGAACAAAACGAACATCTCGTAAAACTTGCATTTTCCCCATTCACGAAAGATACCACGCAACACATCGTCACGCCGATGAAAAAAAAAAGACGAACCAAAACGCAAGGTTCATCATCAGAGAGCTACCGCGAGAGCCAGCCGGTTCTTCTTTTTCCCGTCGCCTCGAAGAAATCTCCGCGGAATTCTCATGAACGGGCAATACCGTGAATGGATACCGTTCGTGGTGGTAATACCGATTGTATGAGAGTCGTGCGTTCGACTAAAAGACCGGTTAGGGTCGTCCCCACAGCGATTGTGTATGTGTGGTGTGTATGTACGAGAGACAGAGGGAGAGAGATGGAGAGACAGAGAGAGAAAGAGAGACGTTCCTTAGAGGAGAACGAGTCAGCGGCGGTCGTGGGCGTATTTCTCAGCTATCGAGAGTCTTCCCTTACCGTTTCCCGATGCATACGCGCCGCGCGCACCTTTGTACCGGCCTCTCCGAGAAAATTTCCGTTGATCGATTTCACGTTTAGAACCTCGTGTCCCGATCCTCTTCCTCGCTTGAGGCTCCTCTCATCGAAAAAAATATATTTCCGTCCTGTCCATTTTCCAGTATCTGTTTTTTTATTTTCAACAAGACCGAACGATTTTTCAGATATTCTTGAGGGGTGGTATGTATTTGGTAATCGATCTAAGATAATATAATAAATCGACATCGGCTATTCGAGCTGAGTTGACTATGCTTATCCTTCTCATTCATAATAAATAGACGGTGAATTTCGTGCATTTATAATATTTACAATTGTCTAAAATTCGGTATAACAAAATGTTTAATTAAAGTCCAATAAAGTTTTCGTTTACCTTGGAATCTGATGAAACCGTTTAACAGAGTAAACAATATTTATTTCATTTTGAATTTCCATAAATTTTCCCAGGAAAATCTTGCGGGTTGTGCATGTAAGTGCGTTAAAAAAAGAGTTCGATCCGGAGTCGTGTCATCGACGGGTATCGATCTCGAGGTGTATTGAAAGGGTCGCGACTAGAACACGGACGATATACACGAGGCTCGGCCAAAGAAATTCCACGGTGTGTTTCGAGGGGGTGGAAACGCGACGTGAAGCGAAATATCGGTCGTATCGCTGTGCGCGCGCGCGATTCCTAGGTGAAGTTGGGCCAAAGGAAAGGGACCTATTAAAGAACAAAGCGGTGCTCTTTGCCTCGGCCGCGGTTAGGTGTACCGAGGAGAGAACCTTAGGCTACGAGAGATGCCGCGCATGACCTTTAACTGTACCCGCATGCCGCAACACGCTCACCTGTATTCCACCGCGAACCGTTTCGTGTTCGTGTTCTCGAGTTGGCGCTCTCCGCGGGCCGCAACCGATCCTGCTCCTGTTCCGCCTGCTGTGTTCCTTCTCCCACTCTTGCTTTCGCTTCCAAGATAAAACTTGGGATCACTTTGACCAGCTGCGATTTAACTTTAATCAACGATTAACTCAACAGGGTAGTCAAGGGCGGAACTTTTAACTGTGAATCGATCGTAACCTATATTTTCGTGGTGTAACAATTCATGAATACTTATTGTACATAGTTGTCTTTTGATATTACACATCTTTTTGTCATCAGTAAGATCGTAACCCTCGTATTCATCAAATAATAAAAAATTAAAACTATGTTTTCGATATTTTAATGTATGTATCACTTGATATTACGTACAGAGTATCACAGATTTGAAGAGAATAGAACTGTTGACTACACTATTGATCGAGTTAATCGTTGATTACAGATAGTCGAAGTCGGTCGAAGTGACCCCGATCGAAAAAGTATCCTGTTGTCCGTTTAAACCGGAGGATCAACGACGATGTCTATCTCTCGTTTTCAAAATTGCATCAGCGCGAACGCAATCAAAAGAATTCCCCGATCGACTTATGGCCTAGCGAAAGTAACGAACCACATCTCGTCATTGTTCCCAATTCTTTTTTTTTTATTCCAGGCGAAAAACCGTACCAGTGTCAGTGGCCGGAATGCGAATGGCGGTTTGCCAGAAGCGACGAATTGACCCGTCACTATCGAAAGCACACGGGCGCGAAGCCGTTCAAGTGCGCCGTGTGCGAGCGATCGTTCGCGAGGAGCGACCACCTCGCCCTCCATATGAAGCGGCATCTACCGAAGCAACACGCCAAGTGACCGCGTGACCGCTCGTCGAACTCACCGACGTCGAACGCTACCACCTCGAAGGATCCTTCCGTCCGTTTCGGCGAAATGGAGACCAACGGACGGCCTGTAACCGATCGATTATTCGCCCTCGATTCGATACTGTCCGAATAGTCTCGCCCCTGACATCCGTTGTCAAACGATGCACGATTGTCGAAAGTTGGATCGCGCGTGGGGAAGATCGTCGGAATGAATATCCACCCCGTCGGATTCGTTATTTTCGCTCGAACTCGAAGCGTATTTTTCCGACGTAACCTCTGCGCATTCGCGTTCGCATGCACAGTGAGACACGGTCTATAAACGAATATAATCGTTTGTCGATACGATCCTAGTGGCTGGACCACTAATGAACGAGCGCTCCCCCACAGATGAATGCACACAGTTCGCGATTTTGTGTTTTTGCTGCCTGTATACATCGAGGAAAAAGGCTGCAACTCGGAATGTGTACGACGCGTCAAGGTCAAGGTTCGAGATTCTCTCGAGACTCTCGGTGATACGAGAAGAGACACCAATCGAGTGACCGTAGTTGAATGAAATGCCGACTCGTTTTTCGTATATGTTTAGTGATCTGTATTTATGACGAAGTACGCGAACGTGTGAACGTTAGTGATCGCTGTACCGTTTTAAGATGTTTTGCGCGGCAGTTGTAATTTAGGAGAATATTTATCCGAGGAAAACGTTCCGTGAATTCCAGCTGTAAATTCGCCAATCATGTGCATACGACGCGCCGCGTTTACACGAACGAGGGAAGATACGAGTTTTGGTTTCACGTTTCTTCCGGTTGGTTAAAGGTGAATTCACACTCTTACAGTTTGAATGTGCATCGCGGGTGATTCATCCACAGTTCAATTCATCAAAAGTAGACAGTGACTCTACTTTGTTCACTGGTCATTTCGGATGTTCATTTTGGATGAAGTGCAGATGAAAATAATCTTTACACACTTCAGTGTGGAAAATTGATTCGCGTTGCACATCCGGAGTGTAAAGTCTGAATTCGCCTTAAGGATCGCGTTGTAACCTACCGAAGAATTAATCATCTCCCGTTCTTCATTTTTGTGGACGGCAACTTACACTCAGAGGTTTTTTGTATTCTTGAAATTTCCAAATTGTGTATTCGACATCGGTCACAGGGCCGAGTTGTATTCAGCCAAAAGAAAAACAAAATGTTCCCCGAAGAAATTCTTTTCAAGGGGAAAAGCGACCGACGACGACAGTTTCTTCGGGATATTATTGAATTTTTTTGGAAAAATCGTCATATTCATCCGAATTAGCGTTCAAAACCGAAAGTTTAAAGGAGTACTCCTCTTCATTCTGTACTGTATTCACAATTTTTCGACCCACCTTGTACATAAACGTCTCAAAGAATTGTTCGATTTCGTCTGTCGTATGAACTTTCGTTTCCCACGTTTCAACGCCCGCGCAATCCATAATGTTCGTCTCTCTCTCCCTCGTCGTAGCGGAATCGAGACTTTTTAATACGGATTAAAGAGTCTACGATGTCCTCCGCGGATAAAGAATCGAAAAGAGAATATATCGTGATGCCTTATGTACAAATTCGTGTAGCTACGTATATATTTATGCACGTATGACACGTGTATTTAATATGTGTGTTAAGTACATCCTCGTATACATATTATGTATGTTATACACATGAACATGAGTACGCGTTATCGTAAAAAAAAAAGCTATCGTTGCACCCCCAACAACGACAAGTTTATGCACTTGTGTGTATGTATGTGTGTGTGTTTGTGTGTGTATGCGCGTACGTGTAAAAAAAATTGATACATATCCAATACCTACGTATGTAGTTAGTGTAATATCACCTGTATAATATTCGACTTTAGTAATTTGGGTCTGCATCCGTTACGTTCGTTGACCTTAACAGTTTTATCTATTATCTTGGTTACATCTTCGAATCGTAGTGCGATGTAACGCGTGGCTATTATTAGGAAAAGAACGCCGATTCGACTTGTCGTCTCGAAATCTTGAAGAACGAAAACGAAATTCTTACGAGACGATTCATTTACTCTCCTGTATCTCCCTCCCTTTTTCCCTTCTTTGCTTGTCTCGATCTACGTCTTGTCTTCTCTTGAAATCTCTGCACGTTGGACAACTTATACGCGTTTCAGGGAAGCTCGCGGATGCTACATTCGGTTCGATCCTTCGTTCGAAATGTTGCAATTCAACTTTCAAGATGCTTTGCAACATGATTTACAGACTTTTAAGATTATTCCTCTCCTTACGAATCAGTATCATCCCACGGTTTTTATTTTTTTTTTACCACTTAAACGAATTCTCGAACCGATCTACGGAAATTTTTCAAAAGAGCATGATCGTCGAAGAGTGGCACTTAACAGCGAAGAAGCACGTTTTATATTTTGAACGAAGGATTCAACGCAGTTCGCGATATTCGGTGCCGTTTTTTTTCTCAATTCTGCAAGCACCTCTCTTTCTGTCTCTCTCTCTCTCTCTCTCTCCTCAACGTACGATCGAATCTGGCTAAGTGCACCTGCCACGCCAACATTAATCTTAACACAAATATACCTCATTTGCGGAAATAGAAAATTGAACGGATTTGCGACGATTGAAATTTTTCACGCATCTCTCCTACACGATTTCCTACAAGTTTTGTTCATAAACCGCTGTAACTTGTGTGTTGTGTAATTTAAATATACGACGACGATATATATATATATATATATACATATATATATATATGTATATGAGTATATATACACATACGAATGCGATGCATTCACCATAAACGTGTTCGATTATATTTAATTGCGGGTGGCCGGCACATTATCGCTTATGTGCACTCGCTCACGCGCGCGCAATGGCATATCCGCTATGTACATAGTATGAAAAGTATAAAGAAAAAGAAAAACGAGGCACGCCACTCGATTTACACGATATTCCCGTTCATCGATGTAAAATTAGTACTGAATGTTTTAACGAAAAAAAAAAAATACATACAAAATTATTTAAAGGCACGCAAATTACTTAGAAGTAATAAAATCAAAAGTTTTATTTTTTTTCGCGGCAAATGAATTTTGTAATGAATTTTCTAATGAAATTCATAATTATGTCGTCTTGCTTGTTCTTCGTACGTGTCTATTTCTATGCTGTTCTAAGTATCGGTTACGGCTTTTTCGGATTGATGCTCGGATTTCTTTTACACGCGATGATAAGTGTGGTCAAAGACATTTGTGGCGCCATCTGTGGTAAAACGTCCAAGCTACTACGGAATTTAGTATCACTATAGTGCTGTGAGATGCTACAATCGTTCTGTTTTCAATATTTACGTATAACAATTGATGGAAAACGCCCGTGGTTCCATCTACGGCAAAACTTTCAAACTGCTGGCCAATGTACAATGCTCTCGACGCCGGGTGCTACCGCCATGTCTCTCAAATACACGTATGTTTATCACCGACGAGGTATAAGAGTTCTATACATATCTCGTCTGTGGTTTCATTGAAAAATAAAATACGTTGGGCAAAAAACACAATTTAAAGATGTGTTCTGTTATTATCGAACCTTCTTATTCATATCATCTAGATCGGTATTCTCTGACAACAACAATTTGTTAAGTTTTCGAATTCATACTGAGTTCATGCTTTATCGGTATTGTTAGGTATTGATGCTAAAATGGTAAGGGGGCACGTAGACCCCAGACTGTAGGACAGAAAAAAGCATTAGATGATAGGTCTATTCTATATCTAGTCAGTAGTATAAGACAATGTCCGCATGGTGCCGCATAGGTCAGTGATGTAAGATTAGATGTAAAGACAGGAGACTAACCTGACTAACGGTAAACATCTAGTCATCTAAAAATAAATGTTCTGATATGCATCCTACAGACGTTATTTTAGTGGTCAGCCGGTCATTCTGTAGGGTCTGTAGTGAAATTATCGCCAGCACGGCACAGCACGGACGTAACATAACTTCGTGAACTTCATTAAAAGTATTCAGTATTATACGCAATTATAAATATAAAATAATACTTCCGTAATATTTATTCCTAAAATGGAAAGTGATGACGAGGATATGTTTGTGGACAATTTATCAGATGTATCGAAAGATAGTGACAATATTGAAGATAGTGATAGGGATGTTCTTTCAAGTGATTCAGAAAGAGATGATGGTGTTGAGGATGAAAGTGATAAAGAAGATGTGGATGTATGGACAGAAATTGATCATGCACCAAATTTAGAGCCATTTCTTGGTAAATCTCAAATAAATACTATGCCAAATGATCCAAGCAGTATTTGTGAAGTTGTTAGCTTATTTTTCGGTGACGATCTTTTTCAATTTATGGTGGACGAGACAAATCGGTACCGTTTACAAAATAGAGATAAAATGAGAGACAATAAAAACTCCTTGCAATGGAAGAATATTAATATTATGGAATTAAAACATTTTATTGGATTGATTTTGATAATGGGATTAGTTCGAAAGGATTCGAGAGATGATTATTGGTCAACAGATCCGACAATTGAAACACCAGTTTTTTCAAAAGTAATGAGTCGCTCTAGATTTCGTCAAATATGGAGAACTTGGCATTTCTGTAATAATGAGAACATGAATGAGACATCAGAGAGATTATTTAAAATTTCACCAATACTAGATTACTTTGTGTCAAAATTTAATACTGTTTATAAACCACAACAAGAGTTATCTCTTGACGAAAGTATTATACCATGGCGTCGAGGATTATTCTCTAAAGTGTATAATGCAGGCAAATTAATAAAATATGGTTTATTGGTCACAACGGTATGTGAAGCCAGTTCAGGCTATATTTGTAATTTGGAAATATGTACTACAAAGGGCACTAAATTAATTGACACTATTTTGTCTGTTACATCTCCATTTCACAATTTATGGCACCATATTTATATGGATAACTATTATAATAATGTGGAAATGGGCAAAGTTCTTCTAAGTCACAAAATTAGAATTTGTGGTACTATCAGAGCAAATAGGGAATTACCAATATCTTTAAAAAATGTGCAACTTAGCCGAGGTGGTACAACATTTCGAAGAAACAATGACATTTTATTACAAATATGGCGCCCAAAAAGAATCGTTAGAATAATATCTACAATTCACTCTGCTAGGCTTATTGAAAGCCATAATAAAGAACGAAAAACTAGAAATAATATTTACAAACCTGAAGCAGTCATAGACTATGATAAATACATGAAGGGAGTTGATCGTGCTGACCAATACCTAACCTATTATTCGATTTTGAGGCGTACCAAGAAGTGGACTAAAAGGGCAGTTATGTACCTAATAAATTGTGCATTTTTTAATGCATTTCGTCTATATAGTACTCTAAATACAAAAAAAATTTATTATAAAGCATTTTTACATGAAATAGCCCGTCAATGGATAGCAGCATCAAAACAAAGTATCGAAAATTTTGACGATGAAATGCCCGCACCATCCACTACGTGTAAGCGTACATCTCTATATGACCACCCCTTAAGGTTATCAATGGACATGAGAAAACATAAAATAGTGAAAATTGCTGGCGTGGGGAAAAGTATCACACAGAGATTGTGTAAAGTTTGTACTGCCAATAAGAAAAAAAAAAGAACGTGTTTTATGTGCCAATTTTGTAAAGTATCCCTCCACAAAGGTGAATGTTTTGAACGTTATCATACGTTCAAAAAATATTAATTATAATAGTCCATATGAATTACTTCATTTTGTAAATATTCCTCTGAAGCGTCATTCTAAATAATAAATGTATTTCTAAATGTTTTTTTTCGTTTTTATCGTTCTAATAATTTCAGGAAACTTGTAAAAATGTATACAGACTATTATACATTTAAAATCAGCTCGTTGAAATTTTAAATCAGTATGTATCTATTTGTCTGCATACCAGCACCGACGACGTATAAGAATAGACCTTTCATCTTACGGCAGTTGGTGGCCCACCTAAACTATAATACCGACACCTTAAAAAGCTTGTGATTTTAGCGACCTCTACGTTATGAGAACGGTGAATCTCCGGTGGGTAGTGACACTAAAAGGGAAATGGGGCGACGTCGTCCCAGAAAAGTGCGTCGAAAATATATATTGGATGAAATGTCTACTCTTATACCTCGTCTGTGTCTGTGCTATGTCTCGTCTGTGTTGTAACACAGGAGCCGCTCGATAATTGATCATCTCAGGGCTGTAGACTGTAGAGGGCCAAATTTCCAGAAATTGATCAATTAACGAGCACTAATTACCCGCTGTCCCATGGTCATATCAAGTATATAGACTCTTCAAGGAGTTTTTTACGTGGTAAATTCATCTTTTAAACTAGATTGGTGCAAAATGGAAAGGCCAATGAGTGATACCGTACGCAAGAGAAGAACCCGTGGGAACGAAACTGTTGGTGATACTACTGCTACTATTTTGTACGATACAATGTTTTTGTATATCTGTCTACCGTATGTATAGGAACAAAGTCTACCGATTATAATAGGTGGTTAAAATTGTATCGAACACGTATTAAGCGATTTGTAGCGTGACGGACGGAAACTCCGGCTGTATTTACCAAAAGTACACACATAGATGTTGTTCCCATTAATGTACACCTGTAAAATCCCTGTCGAACAATATAATGAGCTACTAAAGGATTGGTAAAAAAATGTTCCTTGTATATTTCATTCTTGATCCGTTTTCTCGTCATGTTTACTACTTAGGTGCTCGTAGTTTCTGACTATCATAATTTATTGATTGTTGTTACGTTCGCGGTCATTATGCGTGCATGTCCTCGCTTCATTAAAATATTCAACCGTCTAATTATGCGATATTTCGTTCGCCTTTAATGTGACCCAACCTTTATTATCATTTTCACATAGTTTCAGCTGACCTGACACATTTTTTTTTGCATAACCACTATATAGACATGGGAAAATCCTGAAGTTTTGGATGAAGTAACTGGTTGCAAAGGAGACAATGATCCCATTGATGTTCTTGAAGTTGGATACAGAGTGAGAATTTTTTTGTTTTTATATCGTTACTCAATTCTAATTTACATATAATTAAAAATGTTGTGCAGGTTGCTAAAAGGGGTGAAGTTTTGAAAGTAAAAGTTCTTGGTGCTGTAGCACTTATTGATGAAGGCGTGTAGTAATACGAATTTTTGTAAACTGTATCATATTCTTACTATTTTATTTGATTTTAATTATTGCTGTTTTCAGGTGAAACTGACTGGAAAATAATAGTTATTGACATTAATGATCCTCTAGGTATGCATTACACTTATTTTACAATAGGTTTGCAGCCATTAGCTCGGCATTATCCTCGATTTACAGAAATGCAAATCGAGGATAACACCGATTACCAGGTCTCACCACGTGGAGGTTGCTGCAAGTGGAGACCCAAAGAAGATAGATGGAAACACAAGTTCCATCTATCTACCTTTCACAATAATCTTACAACTAACTTAGATATCTAAATACGCTTATACTATAAATATCGAAATACCTCGGCGGATGGCTTCTTTCTTGAGT